GAGAGTAAGGGACGGGAAGGACATAGATGGAGGAGACGCGAGGATGCCAGCGCATCCTCAGCTTTTTGCAGCTCGCATGTTGGAGTTAAAGAGCTTATGTAAATTGATGTTGAGGCTCTGTCGTTCTGTGCGCTTCTGTAAGGCAGTGAGCTGGAAGGATGATAAAGATGCATGACAGAATAGGATCCTGCGTTAAAGTCTGGAACTACAGTGTGTGCGTGCGTGCGTTGGCCGTGCGTGTGCGTGTCTGTGTTTATGTGTGACGCAGAAGAAGAAGAAGAAGAGTTTAAATGCACACATTTGAAGACTGGCACCCTGTTGAGAAGAGATGTGGGGGAAAAAGAGTGCTTTCCGAATCTGACGCACACAAGCTGAGTGTTTCTCTGGCGCATATGCGCACAAACTTAAAGCAACTGCGCCACATTTCAGTCTATAGTATCTACACAAGGGCATCAATTAAATGGTCTGTTCCTAGTTAAATGTTGGTTTAACTGTACTTAAAATAATACAATTTCCGCACTGCGTGGCCGATGTTACCGGCTTGCTTCATAATTAACTGAAACTGCTTGAAATTCGACTTCGTTTCTCAAATTTTCATTTTATCTAAAACATCAGAAAATAAGTCCCAATAGTTACGAGTTCGTGAGGCAATGTACCCACCAACACACGCATAAGTATTTCAGAATTCAGACGTTTTTGGTTGCACACACAGTTCGCATTAATTTGAATTTCTAAAGAGAAATTGATCATTTAGATGCGATGATAACGATGCACCTGTAAAGATAGTTAAGCTGGCCAGCATGCTGTCAAATCTCTTATTGAAAAATATACCCACACTCCTGTTGTTAATGCATGGATAAAATGCATAGATTTTTTTCCAAATCTGACGCAGTGCTGCAAATATTAATAATAATAAAATCCTTAGTTATTAAACCCCAAATTATAAATGTTCTAAATCAGCAGATACATCTACATGAAGACAATAGTTTTTTTTAGATTTTTGTTTAAATTGCAGTTTATAGAAATATTTAGGACATAGTGTGCCAATGTGTATTCTGCAGCTTTGTGTAGTCTGTTTACTCATGAGATACTTTTATACGTGTTAACTGCAAATAATACAAGACAGTATTTACAGGTTCGCTATTAGTACAGAAAACCATAATTAGGATCAACTAAAATAGTTAAAAGGAAAAGCCGAGAGATTGTGGCTACAAAAACCCGGCAATAAGCAGGGTTTTTTTTTTATTACATTTATTTATTTCGGAAATTTGGAAGACGTTTTTCAATTTCCCTAAACTCGTTATTGTCGCCTCCAAAAGCCACACAGCCTGTTTGTGTACGAGGTCATTTGGATTTGAAGCGCACATTTAGTGGGGCTGGTTTGGCTATCGTTGACACGGTTTTGTTGTCATAATTGGAGTCTTACCAAAGTTACAGGGAGTAATTGGGCGGCATATGGGCACCTTAATGTAAAGTGATGCCTTGTTAATTTCACATGAGTGCACGAATCAGAGCAAGTGACGCGGAATAACACAAGAGGCAGTTGAGTTACCCCTGAGCAAGGCAGCAGGTCCGGCATCTGCTGCTCGGCCATGATGGCATTTATAATAATTAGGTGGGGAAATAAAAAGTAAATTCCTTAATCTGGGGTGAAATCTTAAGCCATTTTACATCACAGCCCCAAGGCGTGTGTGTTCCAAAATTCTGGTTATTGGGGAGGAAAGAAAAGAAAAAACTTTCAACAAAAACTTCTTAAAATGATCTTCAAAGATCTTTAAATCTTTAGCTCGCTCTTTAGCTTCATTTCATCTAAGTTTACCATTTCATACCAGGCTGTATTATGTTATTCATGTGACCTGTTTTTATTTTAATTATTATTTTTCTTTTCAACCTCAGAATAAAGCTGGCCTACTGCCTTAAACTAACGTAATTTCTACACTTTTAGTACTATTTCAATTTTCCATAAGATGCCGTTTGTTTTTTGTTTTGTGTTCTTGTTTGTTTGTTTTTTAAATAACCCGGTTGCTCATTTAAATAATCACATTATTCAAAGAGAAAATAATTACCGCCTGTCTAAAATCCCACAAACAAATTATGCAAAAAAACGTATATTTTTAGGTTGGTTTATTATAACAAATCGTAGGCCTTAGCCTGAGTCCCTCCAGGAATTATAATTGTATTCAGTATTGATTGGCGCGCTGTGGTGTGTTTTCAAGGCCTGTGCTTTTTTGCTCTAAAGGATAGCCATCAACGCTGCAATGCACATTTTCATTTTTAAAAAGGGAGAAATCTGTTCATATGTTTTCAGATATTTAGGCTTTAATATATTTCCCTCTGTTAAATTCCCGATTCAAATTTTTAAAAAAAATCTAAATGTAGAGGAGGACCCATTTATGGATCTCGGGATTTTAGAGGTGAAGCAGTAAAATCAATTCATGGGTTCAAACCTATAAAACAAAAGCGAAGTGATTTATTTTCAAAAGGATGATTCAGTTTACGAATGTATGCGACGTTATATTGCAAAGGGTCAATGACCAAACTGCTCGAAATCAAGTAGGCCCATTTATAAAAGTTAAGTTCCACCAGATGCCATTTAGCAAAGGCTTATTCTTAAACAAGCCGTAATTGTCATTTTGAGCATCTATAAAGCTTGCAACGCTGTGTCATTTTGCAGAGCTGCTGAAATATTGATCCACCGTCCTCTCTGCCAGACATTATATTGTTGCTGCTCGGATATGCTGCTGTGGGGCTTCATGGGAATTATGCCCCTGATTAATAATCAGTGTGAAACCTACATTTTGCACATTCAGTGCCCATTCTCTGGATCAAGTTTTTCTTGGCGCACACTATTTCATAAGACTTGATCAATATAATATTTTTCCCTCCAACTCGCCGGTATTTCTTCATCCGCGCATGTATGGATCTGTGGCACACTTTGGTCTCTGCTTCTGTTTCTTTTGTGCTAATTGAATTGAATTCCGCTTGAAATGTATCCTCTTTCAGAAGTGCTCAGAAAACCGTGTCCCTTATATTCTCTGCAAAGCAAATGTCACAGCCTCGTAAGGTTTGGCCTATCTCGGCACAATGGCCACAGAAAGCCAACACACATAAACACACAGCTCAGGTCGTGCAGACATGGCAGAAGCCTATCGATCCGTATGAGAATGTGTAGATGAGGTTTGCTTCCAAGTAAGGCCAAACCTTAGCCCTGCTGGATCTCGTTTGCTTGTGCGAGGAGAGCGCATCAAAAATAAAAACCGACGCGAAAATATCAAACGTTTTATTGGGAAAAATTGAGTTTTTAGTTTACAGAATAAATTGTATTTAAAATTTTGATCAAAATAAATTAGAATAAATTCTGCTTGAAATAAAACCAAATGCCTCAGTGTGGAATAAGTTGGTGCTATTGTTAAATTAACATAATTTTATTTAGTGTTTTTTGTTTTCCTGTCGTCAGCTCTATTTTCCTCCCTCCAAAGTCTATTATGTCCGCAGGTCTGCACGGTTGGACAGCCACACTTCGAGGAATTAGTGTCCTTTTGTCTCGACACACGTCACACACACGCCGTTGACATTGACTTCACATCAGAGGCAGTTTAACTTCTCTCTCTTTCTTTCTTTCTTTTCTTTTATTTAACTCGTTCAACCGAGCGCAGGGTCTATTGTGGGGGCCCTGACAGATGCGGGGCCCCTAGCAGGTCCATAACAGGGAAAAGTCTGAAAGGTTAATCTGTCCCCCCGCAGATGTTGGCTTTGGGAGTCTTGAAGCGTCACCTTTGACATGTCCCTCATTCAGCAGGGGGTCCAGAAGGACACTGACCGCTGCAAGCTGTCACCTCGGCCGGCTGAGGACGCCCTGCGCTACCGCTCTATTAGGCTAAACGGCCCTTGACGTGTAACTTAAATGTAAGCGGGGGCGGGCTCTTGTCAGGCTGCAGGTTTGAGGGGGTTGGACACTCATGCAAAGTGCACCACAACATCAACAACAACACAGGGACACGTAGTCATGTTACGTGTCAGCACGTGATTTCCATCGGTGGTGACTGGATTGTACACACCTGCCGTGAATGCGCACGTGTGTGTATGCGTGTGTAAATTTCTGAGAAGTTTCTGCAAATAAAAAACAAATGTTCTTAATTGACTAAATAACATGTGGGTGTTGTATTTTTATTATCACCGTTTAATGGCCATACTATATCCTCAAATAGTTCTAAAGCACAAGGATTGAATATGCCCCCCACACACTCACACATGCACACTCATGCACACATGCTGGGCTTGGTTCGTTAAGCCTAATAGTTGGACAATAGACACATCTGCTCATCTTTTTCTATCAAAAGAAAAGGTACTACGGTCTTCGTTTGGTTAAACTGCCACATATTTGGCACGGTTGTGGGGGCGGGTTGGGGCAGCTGACTAATAATGATAAAAGAATGGATGTATTTGATGCTTATGAATATATACAGGCTGTGACTTTATTGACAGCCTTTTAGGGAACAATTAACTCATCCTGCTTTGATTTCTGTGGCGACCGTTTCTGCTTCGTCGAAAGGAATTAAGTGTCGTTGTTGTTTTGTTTGGGAGTTTTGGAGGTTTTGGATCCCAGACTCACCGGTTAAAAATCAACTCCATATGAACCCGGAAGTTTACATCATTTGCGGTTAATAGTTTAAGGAGGACTGAAGGTGAAGCCTCATTACAGCCTTAATGAATTTAACATTTTCTAAATAAGAGCTGATAATTAACGATATAGCTGTGTACTCAGCCAGCATCCATGAGCAGATTTCGTAGGGCTTTAATGTAAGCTCTCTCCATTAGCATTATTAGCATTTGCAGCAAAAGCTAAAGGGTCCTGAATATTTCTAATAGCTGTGAGCAGCTTTTCATACCATCCTTCCTTAATAAGGTACCTGACGTCAGAGAATGGGGCGGTGTGTGTACGCGTGTGCCTGAAAGAGAGAGACAGACAGACAGAAAGAGAGAGAATACGAGTAGAGGTGGGTGTCCCCTTTGCGCATGTGTAGACAGTGAGCTGTGCTGCGGTGGAACAGGGGCTGGAGACACACTGCTAGAGAGATGGCGCGGCACCCGACCGGAGCGCAAGGACAGCTGGTTGGTGGTGGGGGGGCTTGAATTATAAAGAGAATCAGAAAATTAAGAGAGTAATTATTAAAAAAAAAAAACAACTATCAAGCAAAGGGGGATTCGGAAGAGGAGTTTTGTTTTCTGCAAAACAGCGTGCGAGGTAGGGGAATAATGAAATAGGTGAATGTAAGGACAGAGAAGAGGCAATAGCAAAGGAGGCTACTGCAAGAAAAAAACAACAACAAAAGAAATTTGAACTTTTACTGGACGTGAGGACTTCTGGACATCAGCTAACTGGGGTAGGTCAGATAGATGGTTTGTCCACAGCGCTGCCCGGATCATGAACGCACAGCTGTCGATGGAGAATATTGGCGACCTGCACGGAGTGAGCCATGAGTCCGTGTCCGGTCACGGAGAGCTGCTGAGTGGCCACAGTCCACATTCTCGTCCGAGCCCTAGGGGTTTAAGCCACCGTGCTATGGGCATGGCGACCCTGCTCGACACCGGAGACTATCATCCCAGCCACTCTGGACACTTGCATCCAGCCATCAGCATGTGTGAAGCCCCCCCTGGCATGAGCGCGAGCAGCACTTACACTACCCTAACCCCCCTGCAGCCCTTACCCCCCATCTCCACTGTGTCCGACAAGTTTCCTCCCCATCATCATCACCACCACCATCCACATCATCCTCACCCGCACCCGCACCAGAGGATCCCCGGAAATGTCAGCGGCAGTTTCACGCTGATGCGAGAGGACCGGAGTCTGGCGCCTATGAACAGTCTGTATCCCGCATATCATCACAAGGATCCGTGCATGGGCCAGAGCCTCTCCCCGTTATCTGGTTCCGGTCTGGCCAGCATACACACGTCCCAGGCCGGCATCCCCCCCTACGCTCATCCTGGTGCCGCTATGCCTGGTGAGAAGATGCTCACCCCGAGCGGGTTCGAGGCTCACCATCCGGCCATGCTCAGCAGACATGCGGAGCAGCACATGAGCTCCTCAGCTGGTATGGTACAAATCAACGGCCTCCATCACCATCCGCACGCCCACCTTGGCGCGCAGGGTCACGGCCAAGTGCTGGGGAACAGCCGGGAGCAGGCCTCCGGGCCCGGGCAGCAAGGGGGCGGCGGTGGAGGGGGTGGTGTTTCTGGGGGACAGATGGAGGAGGTGAATACCAAAGAGGTGGCGCAGAGGATCACCACAGAGCTGAAGCGCTACAGCATCCCTCAGGCCATCTTTGCCCAGCGGGTCCTGTGCAGGTCCCAAGGGACCCTGTCCGACTTGCTGCGAAACCCCAAACCCTGGTCCAAGCTTAAGTCCGGCAGAGAGACCTTCCGCCGCATGTGGAAATGGCTGCAGGAGCCTGAGTTCCAACGCATGAGTGCGCTCAGGCTCGCAGGTGAGCGAAGCCTCGGTAAAGCCCCATTTTTGCTTTCATCTTTTCATTGATTTCCAAAGAAAAATAAACGATCGGCAAATGGCTGTAATTCGGCACAGAAGGTCACTGGCGCTGAATGTTATCTTGTGCTGAGCAATGGAGAGAGGAATTGAAACTGGGCTTGTAGTTTGTTTTTTTCTATACTGGAAAAAATATAGCAAACCAACTGTAAGACATTCAAATTCACATAAGAGTCGCATTCAGGACCGGCGTTTCCTCTGTGCTGGATAGGTCTTTAAAAGATATGTATACCTTGTAATCTCTCTACTTGCCTCCATATGCTGGAAGTCAAATGATATCAGCTTTAGGAAGGAATCGGGAAAAGTTGGCCCTGGTTACTATAGATATGGCCTTATATATTTTTTAAACCTAGATTTATGTTGAGTGGTAAATTCAACATACAGTCAGATAAACAACAGGATGAATTAGAGCCGAAAACAAACTTCACTGAGCTGAAGACCGTACAGAGACTGGCCTGACATCAATACGCATCCCTTTTCTGTCTCTACACTGATTTTGGGGCTTGTGTGGAACAAGTATTCATGTCATTTTACCTCAAAATATCGACCGCTGGACTGTGTGCGTAAACTGATCCTTCTCCCAGAAATCGTTAGGAACGTGTTTATTTTGGTGTAGATGCAACCGATCAGCTCCTTTTTTTGGAGTTGCCCTTGATGTAAACACAGAGTGTGTGTGCACGTGTTCCTGGGAGTTTGTCATAAACCGAATCAAAGCGACGCCGGAGTCATGCATTATTTAGTTGGTGTAAAGACGTTTGGAGCTCTCTTTGGCAAAATTAGAGACTTCAGTTCCTCAGCAGAAGAGAACTGAAAAGAGCACGTGTTCGTGTTTAGCTGGTGAACAAACCCTGACTTCGTTGAAGTTTCTCTAATTAACTGGTAGACCTCTGTATTAATTTGTCCCTGTGGTACGCACGAGTCAATTAAGGCACCCAGCGAGGCCCAAATAGCACGTGCGCGTTCACATAGACCCAATACATTTTTTTTACGTTTATAGGCCCGATCAATGACCTACAAATGGGGCTTTTGTGCTTTTTGAAAAGTGAGGCTGCGCGGTGGAAAGTGCGCGCTTTTGTGCACGTGTATGCTCGCGCGTGTGCACATCAGTGTAATCACAATTGATTATTTTTCAGTTTTCCCATCTGCTGCTACTGATGTGTGTGTGTGTGTGTGTGTGCGTGCGTGTGTGTGTGTCTGTTTTGAAGATGAGATTTTATCAGTGGAAAATGAGTGAAACACACATATATTTGAAGCACACACATATTTGATATTGCATTTGCATCATTTTATCATTAGTGGAATGAGCATATAATTAAAACTAAACCCAGACCAGCAGCATATTGACTTGTATCGTTAAAGCTCGGATTTTATTTTTCAGAGAAATGGATATTCATACAGTGCAGGGAAGATGTAACAGGCCTGCTTCAGTTATTGTTGTATTTTTCTTTGTCGATGTTACCGAAGTTTAAAAAAAAAACATATTTAAACTGTATAAACTCTTGTTTTTGTTGATTTTTTTTTATTATTTTGGGGGGGTTGGCCAAAAAAAGTACCAAAATATCAATTGCGAGTTTTATTTAGAAAATGTCACATAAAGAAGATGGATAATGGTGAAAGAGGAAGAAAATAGAGTTAAAAATTGAATAAATTCAGAATAAAATAGTCTGAGCGCCATTTTATTGATCCGTTCGTTCCTGTGTGAACTGGATATGTGATCTTGTGCTGAGGTAGATTTGATCTGTTCATTGATTTTAGGCTTCTGAAATTAATCTTGGGCCTTCTCTCGTTTTCCCACGTATTCAATTACCCATCTGAATATTTGTATGTGTAGAATGGAATGGAATAAAATAGAATACAATGGAATATAAAAGTGAAGAGAGAACCCACTCCAGACAGCGCATCAGTTAGGAATTCATTACAACTTTTTTTTTTTGTGGAAAGAAGCTGTGATTGCATAGACCTTTCTTGATGTTGGTTGTGTTTTCTTTTTTTTTCTTTTTATTATTCTTGGTGAATAATTATCTACTTCCACTTAATCGGGATGTAGATTCTTGAAATAAATACACGCTGGGCTAAATCTTCGCTACGTTTTCAGCTCAGATGTCTGTTTGTTGTTCTCTGTACGGTTATGAAACGCGGGGCTTTCGTCACATTGTGTCAGTACACGCTATGTGTGCAGTCTGTTTCAGTGTGTGGAGTTATCTCGTGTTTGTAATGATTAGCCGGGAGCAGCAGCGGTGTGTGTGTGTGTGTGTGTGTGTGTGTGTGTGTGTGTGTGTGTGCGTGTGTGTGTGTGTGTGTGTGATTAACCCGATAACGAGGCCGTTGTTATGTTCCCATCGGTCCTGGGAAAGCTCCCTGTCTTCGCGGGCCTCTCGTGCGGGGTCGGGCTCCTCTGTGCTGGCTCCTGCTGTCTGAGTGGCCTTCACTCGTGCTGATTTATTGCAACCCTTACACGAGGAGCTCCGGCCCTCTGTTAATATTTACCTGTACTGGAGACAACGGGCTGCTTATACTCACAATTATAGGCCCACTCCACTTTATGGTCATGCTAACAGGCCGCTTCGCTGTACTTTAGCACATGCTGAAGAAAGTGCTTGAAATTAGAAATCATGTATCATGTGAGATCTCGGCGGGGGCGGGGGGCAGGCTTTTGATTTTATAATTCTAATCGTTTTTAAAGTATCTCGTAGTGTTATTTAAGCTTTCATTTGGAGATAATACATCAAAACTAAGAACAAAAAGAGGAATAAAGTAGAGTTTAACGACAATATGTAGTGCTTTACTACAATATAAAACGGGAAGTCATTTTATTAGTTTATTAGTGTAGGGAAACACTTACTGTAGTTGTTCTCCTCCTCTTTTCAAAAAATGTGTCTAAATTTGGCTGATCGAAGTTTTCTGTTTTCAGCACGTTGTCTCGGGTTGACTCGTGAAATGCGTTTGTTTGCTCCGTGCACTTTGCAAAATTAATCGGTGCTGGTCGGAGAATTGTTTTGTGGTTGTGATGTGTTGTTCATTAATTTCCCCAGTGAGCCCATATTTGGTCTCACCTTAGCAGCCCGCGTCTGCCCCCTCCTGGTCTGACCTCACTCTCTGTTTAAATGACTGGAGCTTGGGGTGTTAATTAAAAAAAAAGCTGTAGCCATGTAGCAAAGAGTTCAGATTAACTGACGTTTCACTTTTTATCAGATGGATTCCCAAGTTTTTGTTTTTCCAGTATAAAATCATCTCCAGGCCATTTTCTTTATTTATCTACGTCACCCGCGGGGGACATTGCTTTCAGCACCGTGGACAGCGCTCATTGTTCTGGCATGCTTCCTGCTGATTGCTCTTTTTCTGGACCCACGAAACCTTTGGTGCCTGAATCAAAAGAGGGTCTGTGTGGATCTATGAGTCTAATTTTGCTATTATATCCCATGTACCTTTTTAAAAATCTGAAATTAGGAGTTTTGAACAAAAATAGCACTACTTCCAACAATCAGGCTGTGTGATTCTTTCAGAGTAAATGACGCAAAAACCGTAATAGAAATGTGTCTGTGAAAAATGTGGTGTTGATAAAACCTTTCAATTACCAGTTCTACTGGTTTAGTATCCAAAAACGTGAAATATGAAATAGTATCCAAAAATTTGCTTAGACCACCAAAGACAGTTTACTTGATTTCACCAAACTCAAACCACACACAAGCTACATCAAACATAAGGAAGCTTTCAAAACAGGCTGTGCATCGTTTACATTGAAGGCTAATATTTTATTAGAGCAAGCATGAAACACAAGAAAATATATGTTTCTAGGAATTAAAGGAAATTAAAGAGATATGCAAATAAGAACTTGTGTATAATTTGGTTCTTGATACAACTGAATATTCTTCATGTTGGCATCACTAAAAACAAATTTCAACTGCATGTGTATCCATAGGACCTGAAAAGTCCATATCAGAGAAGATCCAAATTGACTTCTGTATAACATTACACAGTAAAGAGGCTTGGACTGGCTTTAGATAATCAAATTAGTTTAGCACATTTAGTCCCTAGAGGATTAAGTACCCCTGACCCCAATCCTATGTTATCAGAATATGTAATTTTTGTATTTTGAACAGGTCTCAGGTCTTGACAATCACGATACAAAAGGGAAAAATACAAATTGTCACATACAAAACCTCTGTTTTACTTTTTATGAAGATAAAACAACATTTTAGCATTTGAAATACTTGTGATCATCACTGAGGACTTTTCAGAGTTAGAGTGGAAACCTACAACCTGCCTTCCCCAGCCTAATATTGTGGAAAAGAACCAATTCATGGTTCAGGCCACACTCTTTACTCAGGACTTTTTAAAATCCCAGGATAAGTTGTGATTCTCGTTTTTCTGTCTTCTGCCCTCTCTCACAAATCCCCTCTCTCTCTGTATGTCTCTTTGCTGAAATCTCCACAGCATGTAAGCGTAAGGAACAGGACCACGGCAGAAGCGAGCGGGGAAATGTGACCAAGAAGCCCCGCCTTGTGTTCACAGATGTGCAGCGGCGGACACTCCATGCCATCTTCAAAGAGAACAAGCGTCCATCCAAAGAGCTGCAACTCACCATTGCTCAACAGCTGGGCCTCGAGCTGGCTACAGTCAGCAACTTCTTTATGAACGCACGCCGCCGGAGCCTAGATAAGTGGGTGGATGACGGCTCTGGTCACTCAGCCAACTCTGGCCCCAACGCCTGCACCAAAGCCTGAAGAAGGACTGATTTGACCAACTCATGGACTGACTCAACCTCGGTGGAAAAGCTTTAAAACTTAAGAGAAACAAAGAAAACTTAAAAAAGACCTTGAAGCAACGTTTTGCCCTTAAACCTGTACTATATTGATATTTATAGTATCCAAAGATGAAAAAACAAACCAAAGACTTCTCCTTTGACCTGCTTTACAATGTTTGTTTTAGCAACACATTTATGTGTAACATACTGCAAAAAGACTATAGTTTTACTCCCCCTCACACACACACTCGCTGTCACTGGTCTCTAGCTTTATTACACCCTCCCCTCACCTCCCCACCCAGTATGAATCTATCATTTGCCACTGTTATCTTTAATCTGATTGGTTGGTTTTGATGATGGGTCCCTAAACAGAGGTTTAATCAGCCTCTTGACAGTCTGATCTGCAGTTGTCCACGGCCTCGAAAACAGCCAGAATGTGGAGCTCCAGTGGGATTGGCCAATCAACTTTAAAGAAAAAAAAATCCCACAGGAGAGACTGGATTGTTGTGCAACCTTGTTCGGATCAGTGGAGCGGACTGTCTGACTGTTTGTCCAACTGTCTGTCTTTCTATCAAGCATTCCAGACAGACAGGGAAATGTCCATGCGTAGACTGCTAACCCTAAAACCAAAAGGTCCAACCCTAAACCAAACCAAATAGAAAACAAAATGCCTAACATCAACCCACATGGTAGTGCTTTCTTCCAACATGCTGAGGCATTGAATAATTCAAAAAAGAAAAACCAAAGCCTTCTACACCTTGAAGCCTCTTTTGCAGTTTAGAAATCAAACCACTTAAGAACATCCTATGAAGTAATTTGACCAAAGAATATATTTTGTAGTTGATAAAAGTATTTTTTACCTGTTTTCCTCCCTTACCTCCTGAGACAGACTGTTAGTGTGCTCCACGAAGAAGGAAATCATACTTCTCCTTCTCCACAGAACATTTTGAGTCACGTTTAAATATTTGCTCCCTGCAAACGGAAATACTCTATGGTATAACCCTAAAAATTTAACTATTGATATTTGCCTTATAGATGCCTTCTTGGAAAGAAATAGACTATACCACTTTTAACTTCGCAGACACTCTCCTGAATTATGATCATTGTACTCAATGTTAAGGTTAGTCAATACAGCTACATCTAATCCTTCTAATCTGCTTAGCTAATGCCGGCAGGTTTAGTTCTACTTTATGTGTTTAAAATCCAGCACATGTCAAAGACAAATCTCTCCAGTTTTCTATGTAAAACACAAGCTACTGGATCTATGTGTGGTTTTGACACTGTGTGAGGGAGAGTGTCAAAACCACAGTGCCTCTGGTGGTACGTTTTAATAAGCACTTCATATGTATTTGATTTTATCTCCTCATCAAAGATGTTGGGCGGAGGAAATGATATCAATGATCAAATCACTTTCAGGCGCTTACACAGCAATGTCAGCTTGTCACCTGAATACGAAAGCACCCCCGCTCCCTGCCTGCTGCCAATCCACCCTGCACTTCCTCCCCTCCCTGCCTCCACACTCCTAGTAAGCTATGCATTTCAGCACTAGGAGGAAAGCACTACACAGGGCTGGCCCAGGGCAGCATAGCATTAGATATATTACGCTGGCCCCTTGCCGTCATCCTCTTCATGGCCAGGGTTAGCAGCTCTACATTCATCAGAACAAGCGCTGAAGGAGAGGCAAGAGAGAGCTGCTTTTTCTTTATCTCTGAGAGAAAAACCAAAAAGACGACAAGAAACCAAAAAAAAAAAATGTGTCAAGACCTGCTGATGTTTTATAGTGTGAACCAAAGATGCTACCTCACTCAAGTTCCATACGTGATTTTTATCACTTTGATGATACCAAAGATAACCAAAGATTTTTTCTCATTGCACGGCCTCTATGAGTGGTGTTCAAAGATGTGATGTATGTGTCCCCTCCCCCCTATCTCCTTTCTCTTTTTCCCTTCTCCTTTCTCCTCCTCTTTCTCCCCCTCCCACCTGCACTCAACCCATGCACCCCCGCTATGCGTGCTCTTGCTTCATCTGTGCTCTGATTACAGCTCCATAGATAGTCATACTGATGTAGCTATAGGCAGATGTGCTGAACTAGCCTTAGATACACACAATCAGCCATGCTGGTGCCTGTGGGGTACGACTACCTTATTAGTAATGTGATCAGTGGTTGTTCATAACAGAAACACATTACTGTCTACCACTTTGTTGACAGGAAAGGCTTTTAGTTTGGTTCATTAATGATTTTAAATTTGCATCTGAAGCCTTACCCCACCAGAGCTCTCAGTATTGCAGCTTTATTTCCACCTGGCCTGCCTGTTAGTGTGTATCTATAGGCTGATAATATTGATCCAACAAATAGGTCAGACATCTTCACCTTACAACAGGCAGACAACCTGACATAGCCATGGGCAGAGTTGATGACTCAACTATAGGCAGACATGTTCCTGAAAGTAGAAGCAGACGTGTTGCAATCTTTCTAAAACTCCCAGGACGAGTGCCTTGCTTGAACCAAAGTGTTAAACCGCTGTTGACCTCTCACCTTTGACTCTGTGAATACCTCAGCCTGTAGAAGGGCCACTACTGAAGAAACAATGAGAAGATTTTTTTCTTTAATCACACCGTGGTGCTTTCGCCAGCGCAACCATGCAATGAAAACATACCAAAGGAATTTTTGTTGTCCACTTCTACAGTTTAAACCAAAGGTCTTTGTTTATCCTCTCCCCTGCCCGCCCTTCATCCCTCCATCCCTCTTTCCCTTAACCTTGCTTGTCTCTCTGCTGTGTGTAGGAAGGTCCAGCACTCTGGCCGTGCATGTCTTTACCAATGTGTCTGAATACCTCATAGTAATAATTCCTTTGAGTTCTGCATTGAGACGTCTATCTGTGAGTTAGGCAGAACTCCACTCGTGTGGTAATTGTTATTGTTACTTCAAAAAGCTGTATGATTATCTATTTTGAAGTTGCTGTTTTTTGTTCTGTTTTGTTTTTTTTGGCAGAAGTGCTCTGTTTCAAGACATGGAGGACAAGTTTCAGGGTTGATGTAGGAAACTTTTGGGATGGAGGGAGAAGCGTATTTTTTATCGGACACTGGGTTATGCCAATATTATGATGGTAGACTATTGCTTTTACAGGGTAAAACCAACTGCTGTGATATTGTGTTCATATTTTCCCTTTTCTCTACTTCTGTGTTGTGATTTTAATTTAATTGCATTTTTTGTATTGGTTAACCACTACTTTAATTTATGCATTTGTAGAAACTCTAGATTTGTATATAGTAGGTTTTTGGAAAAAAGAAAAGAAACAAAAAAGACCATTTATGTTACAGCCTTATTTCCCATGCTTAGATATAACAAAGGAGTAGTTTTTATTCTTCTTCAGCTAAATCCTAGCCGGCATTTCAACGTGTGTTTTAAACACTGCCAGAAACCAAGACAGTTGATTTGCCAATGCAGACAAAGTTATACAGGAGCTACTTTGTTGAACAGTTGGCAAAAAGCAGTGTGTACGTGTGTGTGTTTTTCTATTCTTTTGACTTTTTAAAAACACTTATTTTATGGGTATTACTGCACATCCAAAGATTTTTAAAACAAACCAAAAATTGGAAAAAAAATATGTATAATGTTGAAAAGCACTGGCATCTGTGAGGTAGACTTGTTGAGTTTTGATTTGCCATTCGCACGGGTATAGAATGTAGAAGGCGTAGGGCTATGTAGGCAAGCTTACTCTACCATGTGGGGAATCTCCTGTTCAATGTACAATCTGGAGCATTTGAAACGAGGGCTGCAAGCCCCGTTCACTTTGCTGTCTCATGCACAGAGTGAGGTGGAGTTTAGGCTGGGCAGCCGGTCTGCCAGGGGCTGTGCCGCGGAGCTGGGTCTGTTTTTATTGCCGTGGCACCGCCGCCTTGCTCCATCTAGTATCTGTTCTTTTGGTACGTACTCGTGTAATGACTATAAGCAAAGTCTAATAAAACTGCAAAGAACCTTACCAAGGAATCCGTGTGCGAGTGTGTATGGGGACGATTATTCGGATTGCTCTTCTGTTTTTCTGTCTGTGAATGTGAGCGTGCGCCTCAAATGTCAAGTACTGCTGAAGTATGCAAGTTTGTATGTGAGCTCATTTGCATGCATCTCTTTGATTCTGTCGTTGCCCATTGTCTAATGTGTTTGTACTGCATATTGTCACGCTTTTTGCTGATGTGTATGCATGTGTGTGGCTGACTGGTACATTTTAAAACAGTAGGTCTCTGGGTATCAGAGGCTGCACTGTTAGTACTGTTTCCTCTCTGTCATGCTCAGACAGCACAGAGTCTCCACGGACTAAGGGGTCATCACCAAAATGTCCATGACAGATTACATCAGGATGTTATGCATTCATTGTGTCTTGAATGAATAAGTACAGATGCTTTAATTTTACATAAAAAGGCCTGTAAAGTGAACAAAAGGATAATGCAGCGTGGGCCTATGTTTTCCTGTTTCCTAATTCATCTCTTATTATTTGTTTTGCCCATAAGGAGTTCCCATATGATGGGTAGCTTGGCTACAAGTCTCATAATAATACTGCAGCACCTAAGACAATCATCTGGATCTCTTACGCTGGGGAACTAGTTTCCCACCCGCAGAGGGGTGTCCTCCAGCTATTCATATACAAAGATGCTTGAAGGGTTTTGATAAACAAGCATATTTGTTGTCATAGACATTTAGGAATAAATTACAGTAGAAGTTCATTTTGCACTTGCATTTCAAAATGAAATCTCCTTGCTCTTGTCAGCCTTGTGCTCTTGTCAGACTCGATCTCTTTCTTTTGACCTCCTTATCAACTCACAGTGCTTCTTCGGTTTTTAGTCTGCGTGTCAGTGTGTGTGTGTGTGTGTGGGTGTTTGTGTGTGTGCGTGCGGGCGTGCGTGTATGCCAGAGAGGCAATACTGTCGGTGTTACTCTCAGATGTAAAACTCCATGTCTCATGACTTTATTTGTCATTGCTGTTTCCCAGGCTTTGCTACTGCTTTCTCAGTGCCGTGCAATATCATCTGTTGTGATTGCTAAGCAAATGATAAAAAAGAAAGAAAATTGAGAAGCAAGTGATGATGTCATTCAGCTTTTTTCAGTGTTCAAATGTTTCAACATTTCTGTAGTCACAAAAAGTAGAAAATAAACTGTTGGTATTTCCAGCTTCTGAATTTTTGCTGTTGTATTATTAACATTGTTACTTTAATTTTCTTTTTACTAGGTTTTGTCTTTTCTTGCTCAGACGGACAAATTGAATCAATAAAACTTCAAATTGAATCGGCATGTAGGAAACATCCAGGTATATGAGTCTGTCTTGGATGTCAACCTGCATGACAAGTAGTTTCAGAAGATAGATCCTCAGGGTTAGAGGCTTCATTTGCACAGGCTTTCTCATCTTCAAAAATATATGAAGTTGTGTTCCTAGAAACATCTAGAATGTATGCACACATGTTGCTGCAAATATTAAAGAGTTTAAACGAATTCACTGTGATACAAGCAGCCCATCTGATGCATCAGCATTTGTACCGTGGGATGAGAACATGATGGATCGCACACACACAGACACACAGAGTAATTTTTACCTCTAACAAATGTGGATTGAAGGCTTTTAATTGACAGATAAATTGTTAGTCTGGAAAAGTTCCAAAATGAATCACATTGCCACAACAAGTAAAGTATGTCAACCTGAAAGCTTCTGTTTTAACAAACCTGTATAACCTTCATTTTTTTCTAAATCTCCATGAACTACTAACAAACAGGGGTCTGTCTTTACTATAAAATATGTATAACGCCAAAGAAACTAGAGCCACCAGTTTCTTATTGCTAAAAATGTGAGTCACATTTAAGCAGCCAAGTGCAGAAAAACAAAATGTGATTGCATCTGGGCTATCATTTTAACTTTCTCAGAGAACTACAGGTGAGTCTATTTATCTACTCTGTAGCCCATTACTAATTTAACTGAATGATCTCAAAGTGCAACAATAAAGTTATTCCCTGCATACAACAATGATCGTCAGTACTTGTCCAGGACGTGACCAAAGGTTTACCTGAAGAACACTTTAACCTGATGAGACGATCAGTGCTTTTAACTACCAGGGGTTTTAATCTTGTAGCCGACTGTTTTTTTACTGCATCACCTGTATCCTGTCACTAGATGGAGCTGTGACATGAATTTTCACAAACAATCATTATCTGCAGTTACCAACATCTTTAAAGGAAAAAGAAAGAGAATAACAAAGATTCAGGGTACTATATATCCAAATACTCAGCAGCACCATACGAAGATAACTATCCCCATCACACTGAGCTGATTTTCTGACCGTGGGCTAAGACGATAAGGCAAATGAGCTTTATATGCATTCAGAAAATGCCCCCATTAGAATCAGCAGGGGCTTTGGAGTAGCTTTCTAGGACTGTCTACTATTAGCTTAACAGTTTATTGCTAAATTACATCATCAAACAAACTCCAGGCCTCACTGTGTTGCTGGTGTTTGAATGTAATTAAATTGTGCAGCTCAAAATGTCTCCTGACTTTCATTTGGTTTTTAAAAATAACATAGCCAGTTTTCTCAGGGAGAACGGTGATCATAAAGCACATTGCAACTTTATGAAGCAGTTTGTTCTGTAAGATGTCAAAGCACAGCATTTTCTTTTATTCAGATGTGCTATATATACATGTTTAATTTTACTCACCACAATTTATGGCTATTGTGCAGACAATTGCATGGGGGATGCCATGGTTTTAAAGAAATGCGTATCTTCAACCCTGTGATATGCAACAGCTCCTGGGGTTTTGTCAGGGTGGTATGCAGAGCTCCACTATGTTTGACTCAGCACAAACAACAGTTAGTGTTATCCTCATACATATGTAAACTTTGCTCCTGCTTTGTCGATAAAAGCCCACAATCAATTGGTAAGTGTTTGTCTTATTGTGCAAATGACCCACATTCTCTGGGTCACATGCATCTGGTATCAGAGAGAAAGCACAAATCAGCTGAATTTAAATTTAAATGGCTTGCAACTAGGAGTGGATTGATTGTCAAACTCTGGGTTGATACTGATACCAGCATTTTATGCAACAGTCTGGCTGGCAGCCCATATGGATACTAAGCATTTTATTTATTTTATTATCCCCACCCTTTATGCAAGAGAAACAAATAAATCTTAGTTTAAAAAAAAAATACCCAAACTCATTTACAATATTTCAGTCAAAGCCATTTTATTCAACACAAAAAATTTTTGATACAATTGACATTTGTTATCACACCCGTTATCAGGTAACCGTGGTTATGTTTGAACTAACATTCCTACTTTCAACAAATAGCTTCATTTTTTTAGTTTGCAGTATCCTACAATATTTTGCTCTTTGTTCTGTATCCCAAATAGTGTAGTTTCACTAGCAAACTAAAGCCAGGTCTACAGAGTCTGTTCATGAAGTGAATCGTTATTGTTGCCTTTTTTCCCAAATGTTTCATCACAGTGTTGATTAGATCAGAGCATTTTTCCTTTGTCCTCTATTTTCCACCAGAAAGTCAACACACCACATCTTACATGTATCATGATAGGAATAAAAAACGCTGCAGGTGAGACTGCAACAAAGGAATGATTGCAAAACTACTGCTTTCACTTACAAAATATCATTAGTTTAATGTATAACACCTTCCTTGACATTGAATGTGAAATTGCTAATCCATGTGAATAACCATTCAGATTTTACAGCAAATTAACTGATTTTCAATACAGAACGATTTTATTTTATTTTTTAATCAAGTGTGGATTTGTATTACCATTGACACTGCTGAAATGCAACTTGTAATTTTAAAGAGCAGTGTCCTGGGTAAAATGTGAGGCATTTAATCTATGCTAATTTCAGACCCCCATGGTGCTCCAGCTGGCTAAACAATGGTTGAAATGGGTGGGGTGGTCTTAACACCTATTTTAAAAGTATTAAAACTATCCCCATGATGACAAAGAAAAACAGTTTCCCATGTCCTTTTTTTTTTATTTTTTTTATTTTTTTTTACTTTTTTTGGGTGCCAGGACAGTGGGTGAGAAAAACATGACTACTCTTGGGGGAAATACAATTACATTGTTCTTCTGTTACTGCTTCTACTGCACATTTTCTGACAAGAGCTGACTCAGATTTAAAAGTCAGAGGTGGGAGCTTTTTGACCTAGATGAAGACCTTAAAACTGCTGAAGCAATGCACAATAAAACGACTAAGATGCATATGGTCTCAATTTTGATTTTTTTTTACTCTAATTGTTATAATTTACCCCAGGTTGTGTTACTACATATCCCAGCAGTGAGGCAGGCTATGAACAATAGAACTCCTTGTGTTATGCATCAGGTAATTAATTGCCTGAGAAAGTTGAACAGGTTACAAACATTTCTACTTGCAGTGGGTACATAAGGCTATTTTATGCCAAAGTGTAAGAATCGTGGCACAAATGTTCTGCGAGCTGTAAGTGTTACAATCACCCCCAGGCTCCCCTACTGTTTTTTTACTTCATTTTTTCCTACTCTTTGGATTTCTTGCCTTAATGCCTAAAGTCACCTCTCATTACCAGCATCTGACTGTGGGGAATCTTCAAGTGTCATTCATGCCTTATAAAATGTTTCGCTTTTAACCTTGAAACTCTCAACCTATAGCTTAAACATTTCGAGCTATTTAAACAACAAAAAAAAAATCAAGTTCTATTAACGCTCGCCTTTGTTTAAAAACACCGCAGGGGAGTTTCTACGGAGGAAAAATACGTAGTGTGCCAAGGGTTACTGTTTTCCAGAAACTTCTGAGTGAGTTTAGATGACTGTCATCCAGTTTGTAGCCAACTAACATATAACAGCATCTCCAAAAATAATCTTGGCCTTGTTTAGGTTGAAGCCAGAACAAAATGTCCACAACGATAAAAAAAAGACGAACCCTCACGCGCGCACGTGAACGCGCACCGAATTCCTCTGACCAATCAGCATTGGGAGAGAAGCCCATCTCTTGTGCGTCCTCGTCTCCGCTCGGACTTTTTAATCGCTGTTTGTCTTTCAGAAGTGAAAAGGCACGCTGCTGGGCTTGTGTTTTATTTTTAAATCTACATTTTTTAGCCACACATGGCGCGACTTCCTCAGAAGTTTTGGTACCACTTCTAAGTTGGCGGTTGCTATGGCTGCGAGTTCATGCGAGGCTGGTAGAGAGGGAAGTGACGAGAGGCACTGTTGTTGGGACACGTGACTAGAGCTGCACTGATCTGTTTTGACAAGCAGCAGGGAGGGAAGTGAGGAAGGGAGGCAGACTGTAAAGCATCACGACTAGGAGGACTCACTGTTCCTTTCATCTGCATTTCGCCTGAATAATATCAGTACCGACCTAGTCCTCTAGTTTTAGTAGTCAGCTGGTGTCAGCGCCCTGACAACAACGGTTGCTCCTTAAAAATAGAAAAAAAGCTTGTGCGAAACGTCGCCGTCGTCCCCGAAGCGTTCGGTCGGAGTCGGACTATTTGTTGTCGGTTTGAAAAGTTTTAATGAGGATCACAAAGGAAGTCTGTACAGGTGGCGTTTCTAACGCAAAGTAGATGGCGACGATTCGAGCTTTGTTGACGGGCAGAAAGTGCACTATGTCCGTGTGATTATCGCTGGTTATCGTTTCGCGAGAGGAATGATAACGCTGAAAATGTTCTCGTCTTAGCAGAGAAAAATACCGAGACCGCCCGTCATCGGTATTAGCAGCTGAGCCGTGGCTACCTGTGCTACATTACTAGGGGGTTGGGGATGTTTGCGAGGTCGTCGTCACTAGCACCAGCTTAACAATACAGAAACAGTAGGGGTTATATAGTTGGTTGAGTTTGCTTTCTGGATAGCACTGCTGAGTTAGCAAACCCCCCGCGTCTTGGTAGTTAGGAGCCAGCCTTACACAAACGGGGACACCGAAATGAACCACGACTTAACTACGGTTCAGGTGGTGGAATTTGAGACTAGCTGCAAGAGTAGCCGGCTTGCTAGTTAAATTATTTGCAGTCAGAACGGCTAGGCGCTACCAAGCAGACTGACAGTCCTTACGCTCACTGTAAGTGGCACACGCTATCTGTTATCTTTGTGTTTGACAATACAGCGCGACTGGATGGGAGCAGACAGTAGCATGC